CATGGTGAGGTGGAAAAAAAATCGAAACCTTGCGTAATAAAGACACGAAGTTAATGAAGATGAATATATGGATGACCGTCTAAAAGATATGTTCCGTGATATTGGAGAATATTCTTTTAAGATAGCCCATATTCATGATATTTTATATACTGATAAGGACACCCCTTTATATAAGGGGTGCACAAGTTTTACACGATTATCTGCAATTTTAAATTTGTTTAATCCAAAAGCAAAACACGGGTGGTCTGATAAAAGCTTCACGGAATTGCTTCATTTGCTAAAACAAATGCTACCAGAAGATAACAATTTTCCTGATCGTTGTTATGACGCCAAGAAGATATTGTGTCCAATGGGTTTAGAGTATATCAAAATACATGCATTCCCTAATGGCTGCATATTATATATGAAATATTATGAAAATTTTGATCAATGTCTGGAATATGGGGTGTCGTGTTACAAGCTGAAGGACAACAATGGTGATGACAATGGAAATGACAATGTTAGTAGGAAGAGGCATCTTGCTAAAGTGTTATGGTACTTGCCAATAATTTCAAGATTCAAGAGACTTTTTGCTAATGCGGATGATGCAAAGAATATTAGATGGCATGTAGATGAAAGAAAATGTGATGGAAACATACGCCATGTAGCTGATTCTTTGCAATGGAAGAAAATTGATTCGTTGTTTCCGGATTTTGGCACTTAGCCAAGAAACCTTAGGCTTGGGCTTTCCACCGATGGAATGAACCCCTTTGGTAATATGAGTACTAACCATTCTTTGTGGCCTGTTCTTCTCACGATTTACAACATATCTCATTGGTTGCGCATGAAGCGTAAGTATGTGTTATTAAGTATGATGATTTCTGGACCACGACAACCTGGAAACGACATAGATGTTTATCTAAGTCCATTAATTGAAGATCTAAGTCTTTTGTGGGAGGAAGGCGTTGAAGTTGATGATGTATATTCTGGTGAAAATTTTAAAATGTGTGCAATGTTATTTCGCACAATCAACGACTTTCCAACATATGGTAATTTGGATGGATATAGTGTCAAAGGACACAAAGCATGTCCTATTTGTGAATCTGATACATGTTATCACAAACTTGAGTTTGGAAAAAAGACTGTTTACCTTTGGCATCAGAAATTTCTAAAACCCGATCATTCTTATCGTAGATTGCAGAAGGCTTTTAATGGAAAGCAGAAGTTTGATATCGCTCCTAAACTTATAACCGTGGATGAAGTTTATCAACGACAGAAACACATTAATGTCTTCATTGGAAAGAGCTAAAAAGAAAAAGGGCAGGTTGTTGAGAAAAATATAGGGAAAAAGAGGTTTGTGTTCTTTGATCTTCTATGGCTCGGGATGTAGTGATTCAGACACATTTCTATATATTGAATAATCTTGAAGAAGTTCAACCTTACGTGGCTACTCACAAAAGAACTTTGAAGAAAAAATATCCACGAATGAGTGACAAGTTGTTGTTGATTGAACATAACAAGAAATTCCTAGATTGGTTTAATAAAAGGATACCAAAAGATCATAGTGCATCCGAGACAATTAAATGGTTGTCGTTCATGCCAAAATTTAATATGATAACTTGAACTGCATATGACATTGGTCATTATACCTTTTATACAAAATCAAAATATGATCGTAGTACAATGCAAAATAGTGGGATTATGGTTAAGGCTGAATCCATGTATTTCTCTAGTTCGAAAGATAAGAATCCAATATTGGCATCTAGTGCGTTCTATGGTGTCATTGAGGAGATTTGGGAGATTGATTATGTTATCTTCAAAGTGCCTTTATTTAAATGCAAGTGGATTCTCAATAATATTAATGGTGTACAAACTGATGACTTAGGATTCACCTGGGTTGACCTTGGCAAGGCAAATTATATGACCGAACCATTCATCATGGCTTCACAAGCAAAACAAGTTTTCTATGTGACTGATCCTTCGGACACATCGGGGAAATCGTTCTCCGAGGAAAATACATTCCTAGTAGTAATGAAAGTTTTGATATTCCTTCTACTCCTTCTTACACAACAAAAGGGCCTACCACTTATGATGAATTTGATAGAGATGATGTGCATGCTATTTGTATCGATCATAATGAAGGCATATGGGAAATTAACAAGTAATTAGTATTTTATTCTTTATTCATAATTTAATTAATACAAGTCATTATTTCTAAGTATATTTACTAACAAGTATGATTATTTGAAATTGCAGGTGTTTAAAGTCAATACACTAAGAGACAAGACACCAAGAGACAAAGAAATCAAAACACTTTAAGATACAATTATGTAATGTTATATAATATTTGTAAGTTGTTTTGTGTCATTTTTCTTTTGATCTTAGATATTCATTTATCAATGAGCAAATTTTTGACATAGTCTTGTAATTTGATATTCACTAGTATCACTTTTATTTTATTATGTTGATTAGTAGCATGAGTAGCATGAGTAGAATCAATACGGTAAATACCACGATAATTTTTTTAACACGAACCGTATTGTGAGGATGTGTGATAATAGTGATGAAGAACTATGTTCACTTACATTTGGAAAATTATTTGAATATAAAAAGGGTTAATCATGTGTACATATTCTGACTTTGGCGTTATATATGAATCAAATCATTAATTTGATACGGATGTTATTTGAATATCTGTTAGGTCTAAACTCTAGACATAGATTTAGGTTTAACATTCATGTGAGTATCAGTTCTTAATGCTCTGTATTAGTTTTTTGCGTGAGATATCACTGATGAGACAATACGGTTGGCCTCTCGACTTTACGTTAGACATATCCTCGGTTGCAGGTGATACGTGATGGTATTAGACGAACGTTTGAGTTGTGTATAACATGGTCAGAAGAATGCATGTGTTATCAATTGATGAGATCCAATCCCAACAAGGCTCCATTTATATTTCAGTCTTTATTTTATATTTCTGTCTTTATTTATGGTAACGTGAGGGAATCCTTCCAAAACTAAATTTTTTCTTCTTGTCGTTTTACTGCAGTTCAAACACATGTGCAAGCATTTGCTCATGTATTTTTACAATTGCTTTTTATTGATTTAGTAAATTATTACTTCAAGTGGTAGTATGATGACTTCGAATACTTATTTTAACAAAAGGCCTTTTATGAATATACCCCCACCGTTTAGTGGTGAAGGATTTCCCATATGGAAAACCAGAATGAAAATGTTTTTTTTGGATGCTATTGATTTTGGATTGTGGGATATGTTCGAAATGTCCAATTTGTTCCTACTCATTTTAATAATTTCATGAAGTAGTGAACAAACCGAGTAAATTATGGTCCACATAGACAAAAAAGAAAAAGTGCAACAAAATTTTAATGTAAAGTACTTGCTGGTAAGTGTGTTAAGAAATAGAGAGTACAATTATATTTTTAATTATATCACTGCTTAATAAGTATGAGATGTTCTTTAAATGATTTATGAAGGCTCTATTGAGATCATAATGGAAACAGTGGACACATTAGATAAAGAATGTGAGTCTCTAAATGAAAATGAAGAAAATCTTTAAAGAAGGTTTTTTTTGGTATTAAAATTTTTGGGAATGATTGAAAAAAAGTGTATCTCTAACGAGTATCAAAGATTCACGAGTTAGTATTTGAAACCTAATCTAGTACAAGAATCTCGATATACAAATATTCTTGATAATTTATAGTTTAAGTTCGTGGATGTACGTGCCTGCAGGTATAGCCATTAGTTGATTTTGATGATAACAACTACGTAAGTAGTTTTGAAGACAACAACTTCATCAATCAAACAACTTTTGAATGTTGAGAGTTCTCTGTGAGAGACAAAGTTGATTTTAACTACCAAGTAAAGTTTTTAATGATGACACTTAATCAATAACATATCTTAAACCTCATCATTAAAAAAAATTCAAGTTCTAATTAAAGTGCTAAGTCATCGTTATATCAAGAAAAAGAACTTAAACTCATTTGATCATGTGTTTAACGTCTTAAAGTGATTAGTTAAAATGTAAAGGCCAAAGAGTAAGTGTTTAAGTATTTAGTCAATTACACATAAAAAATTTGTTCAAATGCCTCTTTGATTTCGTAAAATTTCTTGAAAACCTACCAAAATTTGTATGAAATTAATTAATAAGTATTTATAATCAATTGAAAATTTTTTTACACCATTTAATCGATTAAGGACTAAGTTCAATTAATCGATTAAGGACTAGGTTTAATTAATTAGAGCAACGTAAATGACCTTATAATCTATTAGAAACCGTATATCCTTAGAGTTTCCATTTTGAAAATTTTGATGAATTCCAAATTATGAGTAGCATCCTCTAGATTGACATTATTTTTGAAACTTTTGAAGGGTATTTTGTGAAAAGATTATATTAATTGACACCATATTATTTTATATACTAAATGAAAAATAATTGACAAAGTATATTTAAGAATTTGTATAAGATAAACTTAGAATAATTATCACCTAACTCTCTTAAAATTGAGGCATATATATAATCTAACTAACTAGGAAGAAATCTCAACTAATTAATAATGAACTAACACAACAAAAAACAATTATATTTAACCATTAGTAAATATCAATTCTCCTAAATTCTAACTCAACTCACAACAACAAATGCAAACAACTTTATAAACTTTTTTTCTTCATGTGTAGTAAATAAGAAATAATAAATATTTACTTAATTATAAAATAACAAAATGTACATGACAAATGAATCACATTCACAATTCAAATTCCCACTAGAAATGCTAATCAATGTGTATAACCCCACCCCAATAACCAAATGAAAGCCTAACTAATCACACTGAACACATGAAGAAAAAAAAAACCCTATGATCATAGAACAAATAATCCCAACCAAGCACGTGGCATACCCTTTGAAGCCAAACACTATGATTACATGACAAACCACAAATTCCCCTATCTTGAAAGATAACAACCATGCATATATCTATAATATGTACACATCACACTTTTTATATCAAGACCATACTACTATTATTATTATCAACCTCGAATCTAATTCCTTCCAAGTTTGATGACTCCACACCATCATGATGATCTTCCAAATCCATGTCCCACAAGAATCCATATCCATCATCACATTTAGGACTAATTTGAGTAACACTACTACAATTTGTGTTTGTTTCCTTTGATAATTGAAGGAGATTCAACAATGAATCATTTTGATTGTAATGATGAGTTGTCATTGATGATGAGAATGGAGCAAATTGGTTATAGTTATAACCAATTGGCATGGTTTGGTTGGTTAAGGATGGAGCTATGGTTTCATACATGTCTTGTGGACTTATCTTGCCATTGTTTTCTGTTTTTCCTTTGTGAAAGACTCTACACAATACCCAGTCTTCCTGTAATCAATCAAAGTTTGACCTAGTTAGCAACAATAAATGTGAAACCAAAATAGCTTTTTAAAAAGTTTTTTTTTATATATAAATCATATATTCTTTATGTGCAAGACAAACACTAATCCATTAAACCGATGAGAAGTATAATTGATGGTAAGACTTTCATTTAAAAAATTTAACACAACCGCGAGCCTAGAGTCGGACCTAGTTCAAACTTAGAACATCAGATAAATTGAAATACACTACAAAATTCTCATTCAAAAGATTTAACACAGTCACATGTCTAGAATCGGGTCTAGTTCAAACTTAAAATCTCTTATTAACCTGAAAGACACGACAAAACTAGTCATATGTTTAGAATCAGGTCTGGTTCAAACATATAATCTCTATTTAATTAAAAGACACGACAAAACTCTTTCTCAAAAGATTTAGCACAACCACATACCCATAGTCGGACCAAATTCAAACCGAAAACCTTTTGTTAAGCTGAAAAAGACTTTTACCATCTTAACCAGTATTTTTGAAAAACCTTTAACCTCACTCTAGAATTATACGCGTAAAACATCATCTCTTTTCCACATATGAATTATTCTATTCTATCTATCCAATTCAATCAGTGACAAGAAAAAATCTCACTGTCACGTTTGAAATTTCATTGAAAACCATAAGAAAAGAAGAAAAAAAGTGAAAACGAAGATACCTTAGGTGGCATATGTGGGGTTTCCAACCGAAACTCATGCATGATCCAACCTGTTTTGATTCCATTAGGAGCTCTATTCCTATAGAACACCAAAGTTTTCCTCATCCCTACAACCTCACGAGTGATTGGATCATACACCGTTCGATCTTTTCCTGTCGCTTTCCAATATCCACATGTCGTAGCCCTATTGGTCCTAAAGCCTGTGGAATATTTACGGTCACGAAAGCTGAAGAAGTACCATTCAGTTGCGTTGAGCTTAGCCACTTCTGAAAAAGCACGCATGCATGAATTATAGATAATGGGTCAGTTTTAGGTACCATATGGAAAAACATGTGACTAAGGTAGGTAAAATACATTGATTGATTGATTAGTATATGTGTTTGTGTAATTAATTAATTAATTAATTAATAATTATGATGATAATGACAAAAATAATTAGGTTTTGTTTATCATGATCACCATGGCGTGTCGACTAGTTCATAAAGAATTTTTATTTTGGGAGTTTCAATTTTTGAACATGTTTTGCTATATATGTGAAATAGCGTAACCTAGGTTTTTTCTTTTTTTCCTTTCTTCTTTAACCCTTTTACAAGGAAGAAAGAGTTTTATTTTATAAAAATATAATCAAAAATTACATATTTGTATCTAAAATAGGCAAAACGGAAATATCAAAAATTACCACAGGATAAATTTGATTAATTTCATAATTGTCTCTAAAATAAAAAAACTACCTAGTTGAAGAAAAATACAAATATTAAGTATTAAGACACTTTTGGAATATTCACAAAGCACACTTCAAAAATAGTGATGATTATTTACGAAAAATTGCTGATTATTATAATATTGTCAGAATTTCTTTCATCAAAAATACTCACGGATATATTTAATATATAATTAAAATTTTATAAATCGATGATTTAGATGGTCGATACCAACACTCCACTAACATAACTAACATAAGAATGATATAAAATAATGTTGAAATTTTCGTTGAGTTTATTGAGTGACCATATGTTATATAATTCTAATTTTTTTTCATTCATGCCATGGCTAAAATATAATTTGTATGTGAGATAACAAAAGCTGTATGGTACACCGAACACATGTGCTTGTATGCACGAATCAGAAAGTAAAAATTCTAAAATATGAAAAAAAAATTATAATTGATGACGTATGATGTAATAATTAATCATATGAAAGAAAAAGTGTAAAGAAAATTATTCTGAAAAGGATGAAAATTAACCCCACACACACACAAAAAAAGTAGAAAATTAATCCGACAAAATAAAAAGCAAGAAGAATATATTGAATCTTCATAGGACGCGCTTACAGAAGAAAAATATTATTTAAGTAAAAAAATATTTTTTTATATAATTTAACAAAGGACAAAAGCTATTTATTATATAAAGGCGTAATCATATGGTACCATAATCATATAATAAATAATAATAATAATAATTTGTTTGTATAAAGAAAAAATAAATAATTAATTTATTGGTAGAGATAAGACAAGTAGTGATGAAGAAGTTTCATTACTGGCCTTAATCAATCATTGAAAAACTGAACAGTAAAATATTAACCGTAACGTAACTGTAACACCCATAACCTAATTTCCTTTTATTTTATTCCATACTCTCATTCTCATCTCTTTCTGATACAAAGACATGCAACCTCTTTATTTCATTTTCTTCATTTCTTAAAAAAAATTGTTTAAAAGAAAAATATATTTCAACTCATAAATAAACATAAGGCTCAAAACATAAATGAAATTGTTTTTAATAAGTTAAAATTAACGAGATTGAACGAAAATGATGATAAATATGAGTAGACAGAAAAATATAAATAGATAGAGAGATAGATAAATAAATACCGGGAAGTTGCCATGGTTCGCATGTGTGTAAGTCGACTTCCTCTAAGGTGCCTTTGATAACATTCTCATTTGTGATTTTTTTCAAAAGGTAATGAAGGACTAATTCTTCATCACTTGGATAAAACCTAAACCCAGGTGGAAGTGAAGCACCAACATCTCTAAGACCCATGATATTGTTTGCTGGTTAGAGAGAGAGAGATGGGGAGAGAGAGAGAGGGGTCAATCTAAGAAAGATATGTATGTTTTTGAAATTTTGGAGAGGTAGTGAGTTTGTGGATATATATGGTAGATGGGAGGATATATATAAAGTATAGAATCTATATAATTGAAGGTGGCTTTGAAAGATTACTTATATAAAGATGTTATTATGTAGGTGTATTTATATGGTAAGATATGGCTTTTAAAATTTCTTTACTACAAGATTCGGGTAGGGGCATCATAGGTGTAATTTAGTGGATTAGATATATTGCAGTACTGTTCAAGTTTCATGCAATACGGAAGTTACATCAAATTATAATTATTGATATATGAGTTTATTCATATATTTACTATGAGTATAAAAAAGTTTTGCATATATATATATATATATATATATATATATATATATATATATATATATATATATATATATATATATATATATATATATATATATATATATATATATATATATATATATATATATATATATATATATATATATATATATATATATATATATATATATATATATATATATATATATATATATATATATATTCAATTACATCTTATTGTGTGGATATTTAATGTATTATTTTAAGAATTAATATTATAATAATAATAATAATAATAATAATAATAATAATAATAATAATAATAATAATAATAATAATTCTAAATGATTGATTATGTGTTAAAGAATTATATTGATTTTTTTAGCTATGTGAAGTTATTAATGGAGCCCTTCAAAATACACTGATTTATTGATTGTTGAAAAAGCTGTCTTTTACTCGTTATCTTGTGCAACAAGAAAACGTGTTTGTACTTTTACAAACACATATGATTCCTTTATACCAAGAGTTTTATTTTTATTTTACTAGTTAATTTTGAGTAATATTAATTTTTAAAAAACTATATAAACAAATAAAAAATTGTAAATATGTAAAACCTTAAAAAAAAAATTTATATCTTTCTGAAAGCATCGATTGACGAAAAAGTCAGGAAAATAAACGTATATTTTGATAGATTTTTGAGGTATACTTGTTCTCTTTCTAATTGGCCAATAGACTCTCGAAGTGTTTCCAATGCGGTGTGAATGGTTTTGACGTTAAAAGTTATTTGACCTGCAAGAAAAAAACATGTAATTCAGTTTGATTTGATTGACTTTTAAAAATAAAATCGAAACAAACCAAACTAAATCAACGCGATTTAGGTTGCTTTGGTTAGTTTGATTTTTTATAAAAAATTTATTGAAACATACATACACATATAGCGATATAGCAGACAACATAACTTTGTGTTTGATAATTTATATATTATTAGATATAATAATATCAATAAGTAAAAGTTACAATACTATTCTAATACCAAATAACAAAAGAACAATGTGTATTATTACTAAGTACACATTACCTAGACCAAAACAAGGCTACCCATCACACAAGGCAACCAAGAAACACAATTCAATCCTATACTAAACCTTAAAAACACAACGTCTTCTCACAAGACAACAAGAAAACATCTTCTACTACTTAAAAACTCAATTAGAACAATACCAAACTCTTCCATTAAAATTGTGATATTTCAGTATCTTTACTTCTCACATATCATAATCGAAGAGGTTAATATTTAAAAAAAAATGAAAAAAATTTAAGAAGAATGAATCAAATTTCACATATCATAATCGAAGAGGTTAATATTTAAAAAAAAATGAAAAAAATTTAAGAAGAATGAATCAAATTTAAAAATATATCATTTGATTTTCAAGCACATCAACTAATTAGATTAAATATTAGAAATTCTCTCAACAAGTGGTGGGTTCATAGTCATTTCTAAAAATGCATCAAATATATTAACAAAATGTGGTTTTGTTTTGTAAGGTTCGGCTTTGCAAAGTACAAATCGTAAGCTGAACCGAACTGTCAAGATTTTGTAAAAATATGACCTCAAAAAATCATAACCAAATGCTTTTAAATTTTACAATTTTTCGATTTGATTCAATTTGATGAATAGATTTCTATTGGGCCAGTACAGTTTTAAATATCCATAATAGACTTTTTTTTTTGCACAAAAGTGATTCAAGTGTGTCGTAAGGTATTTTTAGGATTGGTTATAAACAGCGTAGAGGTTTATGTTCTATTGTTGGTAGTTTATTAGTCTTGAATTATAATTTGGTTTTTTAATGGTGACTTTGATTTTTGTTAAGAATGTAATTTATAGTGTCGAAGTATGTTGATGTTGAAACATCTAATTGTCAAAGTGTCGAGGAGTTAGTTTCAACAAGGATTTTTACTTAGATCCAATTTTGCGGTATTAGTAGAATTAGGTATTTGGACTTTGTTTAGGAAGCAAACAAACGCAATCTATAAATAAAGTTATTGTATACATTTTTGAATAACTTGTAGTTGCAAAGAGTAACACTTAAGTTTGAAAGCAGAGAGAAGCTTCACAAAAAAAAAATTCTTCTTCTCCAATTTTGTCTAAACCTAATTTTTTTCTTCTCCAAATTTCATCTTTTCTTTCTTCTATCATTAATAATTGTGCAACAAGAATAATCTTACAATCAAGGTTAATTGATTCACTCAAGTGAATAGTGAATAATAAAAGAAATTCGATCAATATGATTGAATTTTGTTTATCAAGATTGCAGCGGAACAATATCATCTCCAAATTACCTTTTATGCATATATCTAATACTTTTACATCATTTTTTATATATTTGTTGCCATTAAAAAAATTATGAATATAAAAACTAAAGTCACATTATCAATTTAATTGATTTGTTATCAATATATTTTTGGAATAAAATACAATAAAAAATTTATTTTTATTTTTAAAGCAACTTTATTATTTTTATATATTATAATTGTATCATCTAACTAATGTAGTGTATATTATCCTCAAATTGTTGTTTTCTTTTTTATGTTTAAGATAATGAAAATGGTGGATAGATAATCCCCTATTTTGCTAAAATCATCATTCTCTTTTCAACCATTTTTTAATATCTCTAAAATATTTGAATGTGATAAATATTATGAGAGAGAAAGAATAATATATATAACTAAATATTTTGAAAATTAATTAATTTATTAACTCTTAATGACGTTTATTAATCATCTTTTCGTTGCATCTAGTTAGAAAAGGCTCTTGTCTCCAAGAAGTCAAGCAACGAGAACCTCATTCGCAGTAATCAGATGTTCTTCTGGTTTAAGTTATCTAATCCAATCCACATTCATATTAATTTAATTTAATTATTTATTTAAAATCCAATCATAATACCATAATTAAAATATTAGGCAGCCAATGGATCTATGCGTATCTTCACAATTCCCTCTCTTTTAACTATATCTATTAGAGATTGTTTAAAAAAAAAGCTATTGGAGAGGAAGTTTGCTCTTTATTCTTTGGCTCCACCAGAATATACCATACAATATGTTTTGCTCAAAAATCTGGAAAAAAAATTAATTAAAAAAATTAAATATTTGAAATTCCAACCTATTTAAAAGAACATAAATTTTTAATAACTAGTTTTTACTTGATTCTACAATATTATAAAAGAAAAAAATTTATATGAGTGATAAACAAGTGAGAAGCCAGATCTTTTATTAAATGTCTAGTATATATGAACTAATAATATGAGTAACAAACAAGTGATGAGACATACCATTTTTTATGTGATGTCTAATATCAATGAACTAATAATTTGGTCTCATCCAAAAAGATTCAACAAAACTTCAATCTAATTGATAAACATAATCACTTTGATACGTTTTATTCTAGTAAGAGTGTGTATCATCTCTTCTTGAACTACTATAATATTACGACGGAGTGTGATTCTCAAGATAAAACTCGACCGATAGAGAGATATAATTTCATCTAACAAATGTTTGATCTATGTAACATATTCATATTAGATATCGTTTGAGTTATTGTCGGGTTTTAAGGTATTTTTTTCTAAGAGTTGTATCTACGATTTTAATGTTGAGAGGTCTTTTTTTGGAGCTTGTTAAGAATTATTTGCTTCTAAAGTGGAGTCAATTCCTTTTAAGTGAGAAGGGAGGGGATTTGAGAGCTTCTAGTCAAGCTGATTACTATGAGGTTGGCTTCTTAGAGGAATATGTGTGTTAGTCTTTGTGGTAGAGTGATTTTTTTGAATTCGGTTATGAAATCGATCTCAATCTTCTTTCTCTCTTTTATGAAGATGTCTGTGTCGGCGTGAAGGAAGATAGTTGACTTGCAAAGGTGCTTCCTCTAGGGGGTTTCAAAGGTGGGGTTAAGGTAGTTTGGGTAAAGTGGGAGGATTTGTGTAAAGAAAAAAAAAGGTGGTTAAGGGGTGAAGGATATGCGATAATTAAATTTGGCCCTTCGGATTAAGTGGCATTAAAAGCTCCTAGTGAATCGGCATTCTTTTTGGAGGGATATCATTCTTAATAGATATGGTCCCTACGTGTCAAGGTCTCTTTTAGGGGGAGGGATATAGGTCTTACTAGGGTTTTTCCTTGGTGGAGAGATGTATATCTCTTGGGCTATAAGTATGGTGAGTTGACTTAATGGTTTTCCAGTCTATTAGAGAGGTGGTTCGAATGGTTTACACACTCAATTATGAAATGATTTATGGTTAGGGGCAAATCAATTGCGTGTGTCTTTTGAGATGTTGTTCCTTATCTCCGAGCGAAAATCTCAGGGTGTAGGAATGATGAGTTCTTGGGTGAATAATGAATGAATTTGAAATTTTAGGTGGAGGTGTAGATTGTTAGTTAGGGAGGATAAGTTATTGGAGGTCTTGGTTAGTTCTCTTGAGAAGGTTATTTTGTCTGGTTAGGACGATTGTTTGGGTGTGGAATCTTGATCATATTGGTCAATTTTCAAAGAGTTTAGCTTATGATTGTCTCTCACATTAAGAAAAGTGGTAGATTGTAGGCTAGTTAAGGTGATCCAAGGGCTAGTTTGGGGTTGGAAGATCTGAGC